GCAGGGCAGATGACTCCACCACCGCCACCAGCACCCCGAACAGCAGCAACACACACAAAGACTTCATTCTGAACATACACAGCAGGAGAGGAGCTGGCAAACAACTTCTGCCTACCACTCTCACCAGCGTTCTGTCGGTGGTCAACCCGCAGGTCTTCGGGTAAATATTCCTTGCCGGTTACCATGCAGAGAAGAGATGCCAGATACTGCAAGCACCGGTCGCGCAGTACGATTTTTTTTTCTTTTTCTTTTTTTGGCGTCATTTTCTCGTGTTTAGTATCATTATGTGATGCATGGTTGATGACGTATTTATCGTCATTACGATGACTTGCAGTCGGTATTGATAAAGAGGTTTTGTGGCGTTGCAGAATATTTTTTTCCACCTGTTGGTATTGTGTATTGATATTGTGGAAAACAGGAGAGAATAAAAGATTAGAATGTTAGAGGGTACTGCAAGCCAAATAGGGTTTGTGACGTGAAAAGCCCAATGCCAATAGTACACCGTCGTACGAGGTCCTTCGAATTCCACGAAGCCACGCGAGAGAAAAAAGAAAAAAAAGAAAACAAAACAAGTCCTAATGGCCGTTACCAAGAACTCTCAAGCCGGACAGAGACTGGGGTATCTACCGAGCCCCCATCGTTCTTTTTATGGTATGTGCTTGTTTAGGGTCGCCGGTACCAGCAACAGTTCAGTTCCCAGAATTCACCAAGAGAAAACCCACGGGCAAATTTGTGAAAGAGGAAAGATGCGTCGAATTATACAAGAGATTTGCTTAACCTTAAATCGATTTTCTTTCCAGCGCCTTCGAACCCCGTTATAACAATCAGGTCACATCAGCTGTTAGAAATAAAATAAAAAGGAAGACATGCAAGTGATCTGGAATTTAGAACTAGGAAACTTTTTCTTAGAAATTCCAGTAAATGCCTAAGCCTCTATTACTTGCGGTCGAACTGGTATCAACCGAATTTTCCTAGTGTTCGAGGCGGCCATCTACCTTTTCTTTTTTTTTCTTTCTTTCTTTCTTTTTAATACTTTTTTGTTTTGTTTTAGTTCTGTGGTTATTTGCTTTGACGGCGATACGATTGACAGCTACGATGCCTTGATTTACATAATTATAATGATAATAACCATAAAAAGAAGTATAGTAACCAAAACAGTGATAACAATAATGAAAATAAAGAGTAATTATCAAGGTATAACCATAAATAATTAATAATTTTAATGGTGATAATGATAGTGTATAATGATAATAACAATAGTTTTGATTATAATGATAACAATAATGATGATGAAATAATGATTATTATTGATAATGATAATAAATGATAATTGATTCTGATAATGATATAGTAATAATAAGATGATAAATTAGATACTGATATGATAATGATAATAATAGTTATGATAACGTACAATAATAATATATATTGATAAATGATAATGATGATAATGATGATGATAAATAATAATGATAATGATAACAATATTAGTAGTATTAATGATCTAATTATGATAATGATAATGATAAGTCATCATGATTAATAATAAAGATGGTGATAATAATGGTTATGATTGATAATAACAATGATGAAGATGATAATAATGAGATGATAATAATGATGATAATGATATGATAATGATAATCAATGACTGATAATAAATAAATCCTGATGATAAATCGAATGATAATGATGATAACAAATAATAATAATAACGACAACTATAATAGCAATGATAACAACAACAACAGTAAAAAAAATGTTAATCTTGGGGAAGTACAAGAGTAAAAGGACATAAAATAGGTACGTATCCCTTTCCTACGCAGAAATAATAGCAGTCGTAACCCCTCATACATAACAGTGAGGAGGAGGTTGTGGCGGCCATATTTTTCTCACCAGCAGCCACTCACGCCCGTCTGGAAAACCCCGGGATGGAGAGTAAATAAGGATGTTGTTGTTTTCTCTCTCTTTAGTTTTACATTTATTCATTTTTCTTTATATTGTTTACATTATCGTTTTATTTATGTGTTGTTTCGATTTATTTTAATGATTTGTGTCTTGATCTTTTTTTTTGGGGGGGGGGGGGGGTTGTATCTACATATTATAAACTCATTTATGGTTTATATATATAATGAATGTTTAGACAGACAGATCGATAGATAAATGACTGTGTGTGTGTGTGTGTGTGTGTGTGTGTGAGAGAGAGAGAGAGAGAGAGAGAGAGGAGAGAGAGAGAGAGAGAGAGAGAAGAGAGAGAGAGAGAGAGAGAGAGAGAGAGAGAGAGAGAGAGAGAGAGAGAGAGAGAGAGAGAGAGAGAGAGAGAGAGAGAGAGAGAGAGAGAGAGGATGAGAGAGAGAGAGAGTGCTGTGTGTGTGTGTATTTTCGTAGAGTGTCCTTGAGGGACAATTAATGCTTATGAGAAATTATGTAGTTTTATATAATGGTCTTTTGTATGTGTTGGTGTTTTTGTTTATGTTCGGTGTGTTTATACGAGAGAGAGAGAGGCGAGCGAGCGAGAGAGAGAGAGAGAGAGAGAGAGAGAGAGAGAGAGAGAGAGAGAGAGAGAGAGAGAGAGAGAGAGAGAGAGAGAGAGAGAGAGAGAGAGGGGGGGGTCCAAGGGAAAGATAGAGAGTGAATGAGAGAGAGGAAGAGAGAGAGAGAGAAAGTGAGGTACACAGATAGCAGAAAAACAGAGAGAGATATAGATAGATAGATAGAAATAGATAGATAGAGAGAGAGAGAGAGAGAGAGAGAGAGAGAGAGAGAGAGAGAGAGAGAGAGAGAGAGAGCATGGGAAAGAGAGGGAGATAATAGAGAGAGAGAGAACGTGAGAGAGAGCGAGATAGATAAACAAAAAGAGACGCAGAACAGACGCACATATAAGAGAGAGAGAGAGAGAGAGAGAGAGAGAGAGAGAGAGAGAGAGAGAGAGAGAGAGAGAGAGAGAGAGAGAGAGAGAGAGAGAGAGAGAGAGAAAGAAAACATATATAGTCAGTCGGACATACGAGACTGAGAGAAAAAGAATGTGTGTATGCTGTGTTGTTTCTTATGTCACTGAAGTAATAATGATGATAAAGATGAAAATAATGAAAATAGTAATAATAATGATAATAATGGTAATAATAATAATATATAATAGCTAAATGATAATGATAATATGATAATAATAATGGTAATGATAATGATAATTATGATAATATATAATGATGATAATGATAATGATAATGATGATAATGATAATGATAACAATAAAAACGACAATGATGATGATATTAGTAATGATAATAATAGCGTAAACTACAATGAACGTATATATATATATATATATATATATATATATATATATATATATATATATATATATATATATATATATATATATATATATATATATATATATATATATATATATATATATATATATATATATATTACGATGTAAGTTAATTGATCATATATTTATTCCATCTGTGTAGATATGTCTGTCTATATGTTACCATCCGTTTGCGCTTTTACATACAGTATATGCTTGCATGCGTGTGTGTCTCCATTATCCAAGTCTCTCTCTCACAATATCCACCTCGGATACTCCTCAGACCCACAGCTAATCAGACGACAACCTTCTGACGCAAGAAATGACATCCTCCCATCCTGTTTTGAAGGAGGCACAGGATGAGAGGCCTATGGCAGCCACGCCCAAGAGTACGTGGGACTCTTTCTGCTATAGATTGCGGACTGACATGATGCAGAGGAAAATTAATAAACACATTAGTTAATAAATGCACACACACACACACACACACACACAACACACACACACATGAAACATATAAATCACCAAACATCTCAGAATATCTTCCGAACGCACAGTTTAAGAGTATTGGTCGTGCGCTCTTTTTATACAATTAAAGCTTAATTTCCTTCACATAGGGCAGTCCGCTTTTGAACCCACTGCGAGGACTTACTCGATATCCGAATAGCGCTTTCGACACAAAATGACGAGCACAACGAACTTAACGCACGCACGCATACACACACACGCACACACACACACACATATACACATACACACAGCACACACACGCATACACACACACACACATATACACACACACACACACACACACACACACACATATATATATATATATATACATATATATATATATATATATATATATATATATATATATATATATATATATATGGGGTATATATATCTACGATCGTCACATCATCATTTATACCACTACTATACAATCATTGCAGTAAACACTAGCATTATCATAGTTGTCATTACTTTTATCAGTAATGTCTGTCTGCCTATTTATTCATCACTTCGTATATCTATCCATCCATATACTATATAGATATAAACAAAATGTTAAATTTCGCCAATTATCGTATTTATTTTCATCTATTTTCATTTGCTTGAATGGGTTGACCGGAAACCCCGTGTTAATTAAGTAGATGATACAATATACGATAATCCCGATTGCGATAATATGGAACGGATGTGTCAATGGGTGATAAAAAGTAGTATTTAATTCCTATTTCCGTATGGTGGAGTGTGTAAGAAAGAAAGGGAGGGAGAGAGGTAGGAAGAAAAGACAAGGGGGAGAGAGGTAGAGAAGGAAAAGGAAAAAGGAAGGGAGGGGAGGTAGAGGATGGGAAGGAAAGTGCAAGAGGGGAGAGGGGATGGAAAGAGAGAGAGAGGGAAGAAAGAAGAGAGAGAGAGAGAGAGGGGGGGGGTGGACGGGGGATGATCGAAGGAAGAAAAAGAAGAAGAAAAAGGCTAAGATAGTAGCTAGCTACCTAAAATGAAGAAATAGAGGGAGATGATGAAAGGTGGGGGGCGTAACTAGACATAAATTGGAGTTTTTTGATCAGCCTGTTGTAGGTCAGCAACGTATACACATGATACATATATATATATATATATATATATATATATATATATATATATATATATATATATATATAATATATATACATATATATATATATATATATATATATATATATATATATATATATATGTATATATATATATATACATAATATACGCATATGCATATAATATACATACACATCCGTGCACATATGTATGCTCCTAGGTACATGCACACTCATGACCAGCACATGCACATACAT